TAATTTAGCGTCGCGGAAGCTTCTTTATTTATTTGTGCCGAGAATGTATAAGATTGTATATAAGCCCTCGGGGTAGCTGTAAAAGGCAGATCAGCCTTTACTTCTACCCCGTTAATATACAGCAAACTCAAGCATATACTTAGATGGACTTCTGAGGCCTGAGGTGAACGGGGGAACGGAACATTACTGTCCCCAAACTAGTAAGATACCTTTCACTGGGTCCCCATTACCCCTCTCTCTATAGCCCACAGCCTAACTGTAAACAGCCTAGTCTCAAGGCACAATTGCTGTGGGTAAGAAAGTGATATAAAAGAAGGGGCAAGTAAGTACAACTTGCCTGCTGTGGGTAAGAAAGTGAGAAGAAGGTTACTTCTCACTTTCCCACAGTGGCCACAATATAAGGAAAACTTCCGGGGATACCCGGAAGTCACATGAAGGCAGGATCCAGGGACTGGAGCATGCGGTGCACAGATCGGGAGCGTGTCCGGGAAGTGGAGCGGGTCCGGGAAGTGGAGCGGGTCCGGGCTAAGTCAGGGTATGTGCCCTGACACTTGCACAGTGTTGTGCACTAGTGGGGGAGATGGTGTAGGACTTTTTCATATGTCTGACATTGCATGTATTTGTGCTGGAGCTTATAAGGCAGGGGTGGTTGGTCAAGGCAAAACCTCTCTTGGACTCTGAATTCCATTTCTGGATCCAGGATCAGCTGGATCATTTCTGGCATATTTCCTGGGGTTGCTTGCTGTGTTATGCACATTCATAGCAGGTAAGGTTATCCTGCCATCAACAATTGGATGATGATGCATGCAGCTGAATTTCTAGTAACAAGCTTGAGCCTGGACCTGACCCTCATTCATACATATGTTTCACTCCTACATGGAGTATCATGGGGTGGTGGCTTGATGCAGAGGAGACACAGTGGAGATGTGAGTCCAATGAGACCAAGACATGCCAACACTGTGCTCAAGGTTTGACTCCACAGTGGCATCAAATACATGAGGAGGCCTGTGCATGCAAAAAGTGAATAGTGGAGATCAACTGTCAGCAGTGACAGCTAGAAGCTGATATCCTAAGTCAGGCCATCTCTGAGGCAAGGTGCAAGGATCTGACCTATCAGTGAGCATTGGCAATCATCAGGTATGTGTCAGGGTTCAGCACCCTGCCCTAGGGTGCCCCAGACTCCCCAACCACTCCCTTCCTTCCTTTCCTTCATTGTTGCCTTGTTGTTGCCTTTCTGTGTTGTGTATCCGCATGCACGGGATAGCGTGGGAACTTTCTGAGCAAGCAGCTCACCCAGAATGTTCCCACAGGTCACAGCCACAATTCTGGGCAAGCAACTCGCCCAGAACATTCCCACGCTTACTGGGCACTGCCACCTGGATGTTCCCTCTGGGTCACACTACACAACTCTAGGAGCTGTATAGTTGTGGGCATGTGACCCATTCCTTTATATAGCAACCATGCGGGGAGATGAGACCTTTACCCTTCTTCTCATCTCATGCCCTGCATAGGCAAGTGTATATATTCACTTTCTTTTACTATACATCTCATGCCCCGCATAGTGTGAGGACAGGTCAGATGGGGGTTGAGGTCAGGGGGCCTCTGAGTCCGAGGCCAGGCCCTGACAGTATGTAACTATTTTCCCTAAATAATTTTGTATTGTTCACTGCTTGCCACTTTGAGGCATCGAGCCTTTTGATCAGATAGTTTCCCTGACTATGATCTTAACCATGAAGGTCAACCTTCTCCCTTGGAAAACATGGGTGTCCTTATGGCAGGTACATCTCAATAGCTTTTTTCACCTCTGGCTCTGATCAGTGCTAGGTTTGGAGACCCCAGAAGTGCCAATCCATCATCTAAATGTCCACAATGAGCCACCTACTTTGGTGCTTGAGAAACATCCCCATGCAACTCCCTATCCCAAACAGCAAAGCAGTTCACAAGTCATGTCACCCAACCTACCTGAAAATTCACACTTACTAACCTCCCTACCCTTTCACCTGTTTGTATCAATGAATGATTACATTTTTGCAGATGTGCACATCTGAGACCACACAAGTGCTAACCCCATTGATTGACTTTTATCTACCTATCCACAAGGATATCTCACTTTCCAAACCTATTTCAGACTGTGGACCAGGCTGCTCAAGCAGTCCCATCAGTACAGTGCTCAATTCTGATTCCTTTTGAAGTTACTGACCCTCATACTAGTTTGAGTGCATGGAGGATCTACTTCAAGATTCTGACTTGCTGAATTCTATGCACCTCTACCCAGAGAAACTGAGCCAAAGTTTACCAGATGGTACCAACCTAAATCACACTACTGAGCCATCGACATCAGAAAATTTATGGACCTGTTGGGTAAGCCTTGTTCTTGATGAAACAGTATCATTAACTCTGACTCCACTTGGAGAAATCTGCCCTGCTTGGACTCAGGAGGCATCCCTGCAATACTATTTGGGATATTGTTCTACTTAGATAAGTCTAAACTATCATCCTTTGGGACTGTCAAAGGGTGGCCTGTTCTTGTGCATGCCTTATCTTTACCCCACAATATCCATAATAGCAAGGGATGTGGTGGAGCTTGTTTGGCTGGGTGGCTACATCAGCAAACCCAACCAGGAGGTATTAGAGCTCACAGAGCAAAGAACTTTGAAAATTGCAGGTCCCCCTGTTATGGAAATGGGAATTTCCCATTTTAGACTCTTATGGGCTCTGTGCACAGCCTTATCACATGATTTGTAACATAATTAGTTTTAACCAATCAATCATTAACAAAATCATGTCTTTGTGATAACATCTATAACAACACCTGCTGTATCTACTGTAAATCAAATGAACTCCACTTCTACCCCTTTCCCTCTTCCTGCACCTAGGACAGACAAAAATGGGTGCCTCTGGCCCTATTTTCATAACACTATGGTTCCTCCTTTGGAGCCAAAAAATTAGTTCATGACTCTGTGGACTCAGCATGAACCCAGGGTTGCTGTCATATCCATACAACTCCAGACCTCTGCTCCTGATTCTGGACCACCATCTCCTCCTCCGGACTCCACATCCTCCACCTCCACCTCCCCCTGTTGGTTGTTGAGAGCCCACTCTACCTATGGCTCCAACACAATGTCCAACACTACCTCCAGTCCAACTCCAGTTTACTCCAGGTCCAATCCCAACCTCATATCTTCCAGACCAGAGCTTGTGATGCTCCACACCTCTGGCTCCAGACTCCTGTACCGGAACCCCATCACACCTCCACCTCCAGAACTCCAGTCACATCTCTGCCTCCAGACTTTGACCTCCTCCTCCATCTTATCTCCTTGTATTCCTTATTGCATTTCATTTATTATGACTAGCCAATATTCCAGACTTTGACTTCTGACTCCAGACCTCTGGAACTTACTCTGGACCCTGCAGTCTCTACTGTACGGTGTCATTTAATCCTCTTGTTGCTTCTTCCTTATTTAGATGGCTGCTTCCTTTCCATATTAGTCAGCTGTCATTCCCCACAACCCACTCCACTCCTTCCCCTCTTGGCCTTGCCCTTTTGGGAAGCACCATAGAATTCCAACCCTTGACCCTTGGGGTTGTTCCCTCATCCAGTCCCCCTTTGTCTCCTTCCAGTTCCCTTTGTCCTCTGACTCCACTCCTGTATTATTATATATACACTCTGTACATAGTTTCCTGTACCCCTAGTCTGAAATCGATGACTAGAGAACCAGAATTGACTGGATTGTCCCCCCAAGAGACTCCCCCTACCAACCTGAAATTAAGGACCACCTTGAGGTGTTGAAAGGTGGAGCGACAGTTGTCAGAGAATACCCAGGGTACTCCCTTATGAGTGAGGTGGGTAAGAGGAATCACAATGTTGGAATACTCATGAATGAAGTGGTGATAGAAGTTAGCGAATCCCAGAAAAGATTGAATATCCTTTACTTTATGCAGCTCAGGCCAATTCTGGATGGCTTTGATTTTCTCTGAGGACATGGACAATCCATTCAGTGAGAGAATGTACCTGAGGTACTCTGTCATATCAGTATGGAACTCACACTTCTGCGGATTGGCAAACAAGCCATTAATGTGGAGCCTATGCAGGACCTTGCAAACATGTTCCTCATGTGAGGCCATGTTGGTGGAGTAGATGAGAATGTCGTCAAGGTACATAGACTACCACACACACATCAAGGAGATCAGTGAAGACGGAATTCACAAACTGCTGAAATGCCACAGGGGTGTTTGATGGACCAAAGGGCAAGAGGTGTAAGGAGTGGTAACCCCACCCCTTAATTTCTATCTTTATTCTATACTGTACCCACATGACCAACAACCAGTCACGTGTCATGCAGGCCTTCCGGTTAGGTACTTTTGAAAAGTTTGTCACGCATCATGCCGGCTTTGTGGTTGCAATGTCTGGTGTCACGCTGTTTGGGCAGGCTCCCAGTGGCTGTGCGAGTTTCAATTCAGTTTATCCTAATTCAGTAGTGTTAAAAACAGTACATCTCCATCTCTTTTTCTATGTTTCTCATCCGTCTGATTCATTTACCCCATCCCAACCCATCAACCTCAGTCCCAACTGCCACACTAACACCTCCAATGGATTCTAGGTCATGGTCTTCAGCAGCCATCACATCCAGCTGAAGACCACCATCCACCTCAGCAAGCCTGTCTGGGAGGGCTTCTCTGTCGAGGTGCTCATAAACCTCTTCCAATGTTACTTCTACACCATCTTCGGCAACCTTGGAGAATGGTTCCTCATGGGCTTGTGCAGCAGAACTTGGATGAATTCCACTACCATCAGTGGGACACTTGCACAGTGCAACTATGGCTTGAGCAAGAGTGGGGTCTTGATATGGAAGATCGTTGAGGATGGCTTGTAGTGAAGGGGATGTGAGGCTAGAATGAGATAGATTGAACTCGCCTGAGCGGCACCATTCAAAAGCCTAGGTAATACTTTTTAGATATAACTGTGATGTCTGGCTGAAGGTTGTATTTACCTTTTGGATTCACAGAGGGTTGTTAATTAAGTGGTATGCATCAACCAGAGTGGCAGGGACACGATTCCTTAGCATGCCAAGCCTCGTATCAAGTGAAATATCGGATGGGCCAGCGCTGCAAGTGGGAAAGGAGGAAGGCAAGACCACAGTCAAGGGTCGCATTGCCACTCTCCAGCTGCTTCCTCGCCAAAGGGAAAGAAGAAGGGGGGGTGGAAAGGGCACCTAGGGTTTCGGACTCACTGTGACCCTGGTCCCGACTAACTCAGCCTCAAAATCTCAACACACTAGGTGGACCTCCCTGGAAGACAAGCTAGCAGTACTGCCTGCGAAGCACTGTCCCCAAGACTACAAGCACTCAGACACCACCCCAGGCACATGGACCTAGTACTTAGTGGAGCAGAGGGGAGAATCTCTTATTATACTAGATACATGTTGTATATAAACCATGGTCATCCGAACTAAAGTCTGAGCAATCCAACGGTGTTAGGGACGGACAGAAACGGACAGAACAACATAGAACAAAGAAAACTATAGGGACGGCCACACAATCGATAAATTCCGACGGTCTCCACAACGGCTACACCAAATCTTCCGATCTTAGACTCGTTCTACTCGACTTGATGGTAGCTTTCCAGCGATACCAAGTGCATCCGGATCGGAGAAGAACTGGGGGAGTTATGGTGAAAATACTGTGAAAGCGGCCCAGTAACATGTCCGGGTGGGCCATAACCTGGTCTGAAAAATTATCAAAAAATACAACGATAATAGGGGAGGTTCAACAGGCTTTGGAGGAGGTGGGGGATCGTGTGTCGGGTCCTAGGTAACGTCTGTAGGCCATGATATAGCGGCATCTGGGTACTTCCGGCTCATCCCTCCCACAGCGCCCTGCTGCAACTGGGAGTGGATCTCACGTGCAATAGTAGTTTGCTGAGATTGCTTCACCATGAGTTTGAGTAAGCATTGAACACCAACATCGCAGGGTTGCCAAAGACCCGTGCACCCTCCAGGAACGTAGTCAAGGATAATCCAAGGATAATTGTCAAAAATCCAAGACCAGAACTCAAGTGAAGCATGAACAGACCAGATGTCAAGTTGCCAAATGCATTCTTGAACTGGATCAAGTGACAGATGCCCCTTTTTGGCACTAAAGTACGGAACAAGAATGTTTGTGACAAATGATTTCATTGTGTTTAAGTTTGCCCAATAGGTGTCGGTACCTGAGAGTTCAAAGACAAAGCCGAGTCGATTTGCTTCATCATGGGAAAGAGCGTTTGCAGCAGGAAGACTGGCAGAAGTTTTTTCCTTTGAATATTGCCTGGAAGGGTAGAAGGACTCCACTTGCCGAGATAGCTACGTTGAGGGTGAATGCACGCTTCTCATCTCAGCCAAGAGTGGACACCTGACATGAGCCTTTCCTTTCATATGTTGAATTTGAACTTTGTTGGTAAACAACCTGTGTTTGATCAGAATTCACTCACAGGTTGCTGGGGATGCAATAGTGGCGAATGGAGCAGGCATGATGGAGGAGTGAGGTGTACAGCTGATAATCAGTGTTGGCAGGGAGCTTCTGGGCAGCACATGTTGCCCGCCGTAAGCTCCAGTTCATTTCTGTTGCAAGAAAGTTCCGGATCCACTGTGAGCTTGCGGCAAAGGTACTTCCATCTCTGTGGACTATTTTCCTGAATATTTCAGGGCGACTGTGCTGGATATGTGCAATGATCACTCCACGGATCTGGTGCACATCAAGAGCAGTGCCTGCTTGTCGGATACTCAATAATGTCTGCTTGATCTCCTCAATCGTCTCTGGGTAAGATGCCTACATTACTTGTGTAAGTTAAAACTGATGTTAATGCCAATTGTTGACTCACCAGTACCCCTTTCCGAGTAATACTGCCACCTGGGCAATTCCCCATCACAACCTTCACCAAGACTGCGACTGACCAACATGGCTGTGATCCACTCTGATCTATCCACTTCCCAACTACATCTGCCCTCAACAAATGGAATAACTTTGCAGACCTTCGTTGGCACTCTTTCACTATTTCTATTGGCCTCATCTTCCAGCCAACCTTCTCCGCTGCTTCACTTATTATCATCCAGAAAATTGGTTGGAAAACAATTTGTCTATGTACCCTTCATCTACATGCTTTCATGGTCACGGTGTAGGAGAAATAACAGTCACCCTATGGAAACTCATTATGGAAATATGTCAGAAAAACCATGAAAAACCCCATACATCAGGTAGATATGAGAAAATAGAAGAAACTGAATTTTAATGAATTTTAACGAATTATTACAACTACATACGATAAATTGGAAGAAAGAAAATTAGTAAAAATACTTCAAGCTTAGCACCAATAAACGGAATACTCAGGGAAATTTATAGCAAATATTAAACAAGGAACTAGGACAATCGGGAAAGATTTGACTATAAAACCAACCAGAGAACCTCCACAGAAACTACCTTCCCATGCCTGCACACGTAGCCAAGGGTGGAAGTACCATGGAACAAGGATTCCTTAGGAACCAATGCAAAATCCAAAGTCGTGTTCATAATAGGAAAGGTAGATGTCTCCCAAACAGATCCAGGAAAACAGGAAAGGATGGGGACTGGATTGGTATCCAACAGGTCAGGGAAAAGGGGTAATGGTAATATGGTATGGTCCAGTGTGGTATGGTGCATGGTGTACTCTAATCAACCTCTCACCCCACCCCTCTGGGTGACACTAAGGCAAGGACTGACCTAGAGGTCTTCTTACTGATGTTCTCCGTCGTAATACTCCCTACCAGCTTGGGAGGGGCAAACTCGGTGGTTTCTAATCCACAGGAAAAGGTAGATTGTCAGGGGACGGACCCTGGGTCCCCATGACCCCTCTCTCTATAGCCCACAGCCCTGTGTATAGACAGCCTATCCTAAGGCACAACCTACTGTGGGTAAGAAAGTGAGAAGAAGGTTAACTTCTCACTTTCCCACAGTGGCCCCAATATGGTGAAAACTTCCGGGGATACCCGGAAGTCACATGAGGTGGGATACGGGGTCAGATCATGTGGCGCACGGAGTGTGTGGCGCAGGAAGTGCATGGGAAGTGGAGTGGGTCCGGACGTGGGTCCGGGTCCGGGCTAAGTCAGGGTATGTGCCCTGACATAGATACATCCTCATGTACAGGTATATATGAGAAATGATCAAAGAAAAAATGATGAAAAATATCCGATGTGCCCCATGTGCTTAGGTCGACATCAATATCGGAAAATGGGAGGGAAAACAATAATCAAGGAAATAATAAAGCAATAAATGGTATCTGACCAAAAATACCCAACTCTATCCATCGCCAATAAACTCCCGCTAATCATGGATCCTAATACTCCTAAATGACGCGTTTCCAACAGTACCAATATCGTCCAAATCGGTGCAGTGGTTGCTGAGATAAGTGAAATCCAATCTGAGTGTGGCTGCGCTGCTGGGTGGGCATGGGAATTTGATCTGTGGGGACTGGAAATGTGTCTGGAAAAATGGAAAAAAATCGTGGAAGAGTGGGAATGGCATATGAGGACATGTGTGATGTGTTTCGTGAAGTGGGGATGTGCTGGGATGGGGAAATCGCGATATTCGGTTCATTTGTGCAGTACCGGCTGTGCCCTACAATGCATCAAGCCTCCAATTGAACTGAACACTGATTTTGAGAAACCCATGACTTTACCGTTCCAGGGGCATGAGAGGAGTCGCCTTTGCACTGCTGTAATAGCACTGTGGTATGCTGGGTGGTGGCATACTATCTCCTTGACATGTGCCACTACATCTCTCCATACCTGCTGCAGGTTGCATAGTCATAGCAAGGCCTCCCAGATATGGAGAATGGTGATGGGGAAATAATATGAGCCAACATGGACTGAACAGGCTGGGTTGTCATCATTGGGGTTGTGCTTGGAGATGAGGTTTTTTATTGAGTAGTAGGTTGGACAATCCATGGTGCAGAGATCATTTTCGGACAGTTGATTGACAGAGGGGGGGTGGTGGCTGAGGTGTATGGTCAAACCTTGTAAATTTGTTTGGAGGACTGGAAGTGTAAACTGGATAAATTCAGTGACAGACAAGTTCCCATCTGGAAAGTAGGATCCAATAAAATCACCTGGGATATCACTATATGAGATAGTCTTATCTGTCAGAAATGGTGTTCAAGGTATTTGCGGGAAGCGGAGCGGAGTATGGCGGTGTGAGTGGACACTTAGCTAATGAGCTACTCCATTGCAAGGCGTCGTGGTGGTTGGGACTTCAGCTTCAACGACTTGGCTGGAGCGTTGCGCCACACGTTCTAGGCTGTCCCATATTTCACGTTAGTGGGAGTTACCTTGCGGCGATGTTTGACTTAAGCAGAGATGGAACTGAGGGGCAAACTTAAGATGAGAGTACTTGGGGGGAATTCTAGTCGATATTCAAACTGAGGTACATCGACAGTAAACTACAAGTATAAATACAAAAGGAGAACAGAGAAGGGGCCGGTCGGCCCGGCGTGGGACAGGAGCGGGATGGTAAGTACAACAAAACTAAAGAGCGATTAAGGACCAGGGAAATGGAACAGAAGAAATGAATGGAACAGAGGACGGCGAAGTTGGGAGGCAGAATGAATTGGCCAACAATCTAGGTGCTAGTAAGGTGACAGATCAGAATGTCAATATATGAATAAATCAAATGTCAATAAAGGAATAACCAAATGTCAATAAGGAATGGATCAACGGTGACCATACTGACCGCTAGTTAGTTAAGTGAATGAATAAGAATAAAACGGTATTGGCCAAATGGCTGAGGAGCTCAAGTGGTGGCAGGAGAACGAAGGAGGCGCTGCTACGGGGCCATAGGGCAGGAACCACTATCGGCGCTGCTAAGTGATGGGCAATGGCGCGATTAATGGGCGCGAGTAACAGGCGCAAGAATGGGGGTGCAGAAAGTGGTAGAAGGGCAGGGACTTTGCAGGGCCGTGACATTATCATACACAAAGTGATGCAGTGTGCAAGGGTAAAACCGTTCATGAGATGATGCACAGATGCTCAGAAATTTTATGGGGGTGGTGTTTTCAAAAATTTAAAATTTAAATTCAAGGTGACTTCTGTTAGTTAACAATTTATTGCCATTTTCAAAATTCGAGGCAAACTCCAAAATTCAAAATTCCGCAAAATCTTTCATGTCACTGCTCACTCAAAACTTGGCCGATTTTGGTGATTCAACATGCGTTGGAAAGCGTCCGAGTAGCGCATGAAGCAGGTGCAAACCAAATTTTTTTTTTCTCATGTTTTCCGTGCTGAGAGGTCTTGAAAGTCTGAATCAGCCCTGCCCCAGGTTACACAAAGAGCATATGACTTGGTTTAATTCCTGGAAAGCCAAAGGGAACAACATAACAATGTGTAAGCGTAATATAATTCGGACAACCCCTAATATCATAGTCATGAGAGCAAAGTCACCGTTGTTGAACAAACCCGCTAGACCATGAACCATCCTCTGAGTGGCACTGTCCCCTGTGCACCTACAAGTGCGCCTACTGTTTTGGTGATTTCAGGTGTCCAGAGGATCACTGAGGAATGTGGCAATGTTGTTGCAAGGATGTTGGCACTCCATGTCCATCCTGAACAGATTGCATTGGTAGTTGGTGTGAGCTTACGGACAGTGTATCATGTACGTGAAAACTGCCAGGCGAATGGTGGCACATTCAGAATTTCACATGGGCCATCCAAAGCTGGTCGGCCACACCTCATAGAAGAGAATGATATCAACGTAAGTATTTTTCCAATCACTATATTCTTGGCCTCTCTAAGTGCATAGGTTAGTACTTGTTAGGTCTGTTGGAATTCCGCAAAGATTTTTACCTCAAAGAACTCCAAGCTCACCTGCGTGAGTTCCAGGATCTTGATGTATCCCTTTCCACCATTTGGCATGCATTACAGAATGCTGGATTGACATGGAAAAAGGTGGCTATTTATACCCATTTCCCTTGTATTTATTAACCATGATTTCGTGACAGATGGCAAAGGTGGCAATCAAGCGCAGCGAAGTCAAATGGGCCAATTTTCTACTCGAAATTGGACAATATAAGCCAGAGCAGCTGGTTTTCATTGATGAGAGTTCATTTGATAAGCATACTACATATCGGGATTATGGTTGGTCTCTCTGTGGGGAGCACGCAACAAAGCGCTGCCACTTCATTCAGGGTCGAAGGTATGAATAATTCTCATCTTTTGTGGAAAATAATGGCTCAGATACTCCGTCTTGCCAGCTTTATGCCTCGATGGAATTATTTGGCTGAAGATTGTGGAAGGCTCATTCACTGCCGAGCTATTCACCGATTTCATCAATGGGCTACTGGTGCAAATGAGCGATTTTCCTGGGCCAAATTCAGTTGTCATGATGGACAATTGCCGTATTCACAAAGGGGAACACATCAAGTCAATGATTGAATCAAGGTATATACATGTCTACTTCTATTTCAACAAGTGACACTAACAAGTCTTTATTAGTGGCAAAAAAGTTGTCTATCTTTCACCTTACAGCCTTGATTTCAGCCCAATCGAACCATCCTTTGGTTGGCTGAAAGGTTTGACTCAACGCGATGAGGTGCTTCGTGAGGATATGTGCATCACTGATAATGATGATGTCAAAATCGCAACAATCACCCATTTGCATGAATATATTTTCCATATCAGACCTGAACTTGCACATTCATGGTTCCGTAAATGTAATTACATTTTGTAGAATGTTCAAAGGCGATTACATTTCTCAACCTCCTCAATGAGCTCATCAATGGGGAAAATCCTGATAACAGAGGTGAGAAGGCTTTTGATAGTCGCTTCATCGCAGTCAACATCCAGGAGGTGTCAGGGGACGACTCCTGGGTCCCCATGACCCTCCCCTATGGCCCACAGCCTCAGGTCTGGCCAGCCCTATCCAGGGCACAATCTACTGTGGGTAAGAAGATGAGAAGGAAGCTAACTTCTCATCTTCCCACAGTGGCCACAATATCAGCAAAACTTCCGGGGATACCCGGAAGTCACATGAAGGGGTAGGAACCGGGCCCGGAGCATGCGGCGCGCGGACCATGCACGCGTGTGGGAAGCGCAGCGGGTGGATGCGGGTCCGGATGCGGGTCCGGGTCCGGGCTAGTCAGGGTGTGTGCCCTGACAGGTAGCCAACTTTCTTCGCATACAATAGAATCTTGTCAAATTGGCCTGTCTCGGCAAAGCATGCAACAACCTTATTGGGGACGTTGGCATGAAGATATACCGAGAGAGTGAGGGTCATGTCATGTAAGCAAACAATGTCGCCAAGTTCTTCTGTGCATTCAAGCTGAAGCAAATTATGTGGTCAACCTCTATGCTCATGCTGGATGAGGAGTTGTTACCTTGTTCTCTTTGAGCCATTTCTCAAGCAGTTGCTTATGGCCCTGGGCAAGAACAGGGCATGCCAATTCAAGTGGCTCATGCTTGTTAAGCTTGCCTTTCTCAAGTAAAATACCAAAATACTGAAATATGGGCGAAAGAGTGCCTGGTTGAACAGGAACTTGCTTGGATTGCTCTATGGTTCACAGTGTATGAAGAATGCCCTGAGAGCAATTGTCAGCGCATAACAACATAAGAGTGTCGAATTATCGCTCACTCTTGGCGAATTGGCTGCAATCTTGGCAGCTTCACTATATTGGCCGGAGGCAAAAAGCTGCTGATACTGCTGAATGTACAGCTCATCAGCACCAGGTAAATTTGCCTGGCTAGCTAATTTGACTGCCAGCTTGGTGTTGTTCAGAATGGTAAGAATGTAAGGGATGTGTCAGGGCACAGCCCCTGACCCCACACACCCTCAGGTACCCTTCCCCCATTTTCTCCTATTTTTCCCTTCACTGTTCCACAATCCCGCATGCATGCAGACCCGTGGGAACTTTCTGGGCGAGCAGCTCACCCAGAATCTTCCCATGGGGGGGTGCCAATTATGGAAAGTCGGCAAAGAGCCGAAAACTGTATAGTTCCCGACTCCCATTTGTAGCGGCTTCACAGGAGGTTGAGAAGGTTACCCTTCTTCTCAACTCATTTCCTGTGAAGGCTGGGGCTAGCCCCCTCAGTGAGTTTGAAGATCTTGGACTGGGACTAGATACCCCAGCGACTAGGAGGATCCCCCTGGGTCCGTTGCAGAATGAGGGCCGGGCCCTGACAGGATGATGGTCTGCTCGTCAGCACTCACACTCAACACTGGGTCCTGCTTATTAACCCCGATAATACCGTTAGTGGCCTCATGTTCTGCAGTAACGAAGACAGTTTCGCCGCTGATACAGTTCATGTAGACGCATGCCAGTTTCGAGATCTGAAACCAGCAGTGGTTGAGCCCCACTTCCTGAAACGGGACGTGGGATATGCACTGTTGCTGTTGCTGAGATGGAGCCCGGGATCTGGCGTTGGCTTTGAGTTGGGGCTAGGAGTAGTCCTAAAAAGCCAATTTCGGCTCGTTGAAGGCGACGCTGGGGTGACAGCTCATGAGAAAGACGGCTCTGGTGTTTTAGGTGGTTGGTAATGGATGCTGGTACCGCCCCTCTTCTGTCTCGAGTCTAGTGGTGATAGACCCATTACACTGTCATATGCAACATGTACATACCAAACCCACCCTTCCTGCAGCACCCACATCTCTCCCCACTCCAGTGGCAACTGCTGCACTGAATCACTCAGAAGAGGTACCTTACAAGTGCAAATCAGAACGAGAATGGAAGCGGCTGGATCTCACCATTAAAGAGGAGGACATAGGCCACGGATTGCTTCACTTCTTTAGCCCCACAAGCCACGAAGAATACCAAGTCCAGTTGGCTGCAGAGTATGAGAGGATGACAGAAAGACAGGAAGAACTCCGTCTTTTGGTGAGGAGAGCTGCCATCAGAAAAGTAGAGCATGCCCATATGTAAGTCAGCCCAAGAGCGACAATGCTGCCACCGAGCTTCTCAGAAGCCAGTGGCAAATAAAGATGATGAGGTATGCAGATGATGTACAGGTGGCAACATTTCCTGATCAGCAATGTTATATGTAGCACATTAAACATGGGAGCCATACCTGTGAAGGTGAGGTGACAGTGTCACCCATTGCTGTCTTGAAACCGATGGCACTCCCAGTTGTGGAGATCTCATGACCAAAGCACCGCATTGAGGAGTGGATGATGGAGCGAAAACGCCAAAAAAGGAACCATCATGCAGTCAGTACCGAGCCTCCACAAAAAGTAATAAGAACACACACAAAAACTACGAACTGGTTCCAACCAATCTTTCGGACAATAATAAAAGATGTCACAGACATAGTGGGCTGGAAGAACACATAGGAATGGAAAAGCGACCTCCCTTTTGACTACAAGAGACTGTAGCACTGAGAGATCCAAGAAAAAGAGAGAAATTCTAAGCTTGACTCTTTGAGTATTATAAGGAAATCCCTGACAATTGTCCAAGACGGACCAGGGGTACGTAATTCTTAGCAAGTTTTGTGATTGTTTTTGTTTTGTTAGCACCTGGACCAAACCTAGGATGAGCTTAGGACATCCCAGACTCCCTCCCCATGAATGTGCTCGCATTTAGGGGGATAGATCTCTAGCCCGCTTGCAGTATTGGTGGTCCTTACAGGGGGAGGAGTCATTTTATTTGTTCAAGAACGTCCTATCCCCAAATATCATTCCTCCACGCCACTCATATACACCCATCACACACATATGGCTATTGATTGAGCTGAAGATTCAAGTCAGCAAGAAGAAGTTTCATTTTACCACACAACACTATATACAAATTCAAGTTTGCGAGACTACAGAAGATGTCTCATACAGGGGGAGCACCAGCACCCACTCCCATTAACCTAGCTGCGGCCCCTGTTGCCCAAGCTGCTGTGTCAGCAATTAGCTGTATGCCTGGTTCCCATTCCAGGGATGCACCAAGGTTTAAGGGCCATAAGCTCAAGAAGTTCTTGTTTGACTTCAAGCTTCACACTGTAACCGGGAAAAAGGGCTGCCCAGGCAAGAGAGTAGGGACCTGGGGGTAGTGTCTGAGTCGGGTCGGAAGATGGGAAAGGATGGGTGGTGACAGTGCTGATACTGTGCCGTGGTCCGGGTGCTAGAAAATAATCAATAAAATCTCACTAATCATGTACTCACTCCTGGTCCTTCTTGGACAGTCGTCAGGAGGCTTCTTTAACATATGGAGGGATCGCTCTTTTTAGCACAGAAGAGGGGTCCAACAACTATAAGTACAACACAAACTGGGTGTATATATAGAAAAAGAGAGAAATCAGACCAAAAAAAAAACAAGGAAAATAGCCGATGGATGGTGGCAATGGAAACAGGGAGAATGTTGAGAACTCGGCTAAGAAACAATAAGGCAAAAAAAATGTCCACAAGGTAACAATAAAATCAATAATTGAGGCCCATAAGGTCAATATCAACCATCAATCTCGCTTCTCCACTGCATATCCGTCATCCTAACTCCTGTCCTGTCATTCCATCCTCTTTTCCTGATTTGTCACTGTCCTTCAAGCTCAAAATCGTGTGAATTGGTGGAAATTGGTGGAGATATGGGGGAAATGGTGGATATCCGTGAATTTTGGGGAAGTGGCAATATGGGTCTTGAGAAAAAAGCATGGAAAAAATTGGAAAAAATGTGAAAATGTGTCGTGGGCATTGTAAATGTGTCGGAGGCTTGAGAGTGCTCGTTGGCGCCTCGAAAAACGTGGTTCTGCCCTTGTTTGTGTGGTACTTGCTGTGCCCTCCTACAATGCCAACACGGCACACCTCTCAGACAGAGAGAGATGCGAGTACGTAGTATCCTACTGCTCCGAAAAGGAAGCCAAGTTCATCAGAATGTTGGATGGCTTTGAGAACAGAGACTGGAATATGTTGAAAACAGATCTCAAAAATTATTACCTTGCCAATCAAGAAGCTTGTGTGTACCATACCAGGGACTTGCAGCGCCTCATTGATAAAGACCGCAAAATAAAATGTCATAAAGACTTTGACACATACCATTGCAAGTTCAGGCTCATAACAAAGTCCCTGGAAGCCAGGCATGCCTTGAACACAGATGACAAAGATGATTAGTTTTATCATGGAATCAAACCCGCGAAGTTTCATGGTAAAGTCAAGCGTGAACTTAAGGCTCACAACCGTTGGAGGGACCTCACAATTCCCCTGGACATGACACAAGTAGTTCTGACCATAAAAGAACTATTGAAACATGATCTATATCATGTGGATGAGTCAGATGAGGATTCCGATTCAGACAGTGATGAATGGAGATTCCTCTGATGAAAAAGGGGACTCCGAAAAGGATAGCTCCTCAGATGAGTCCTCAGAATCTGAAGAAGACCAACCAGCTCTGCACCGTAAAGGTTCTAAGTCGTCTAAGAAAAAGAGATCCCATAAGAAAGCCAAGTGCAGGTCTTCTGAAACCTGCGAAGAAGTCAGGGTAGCCACAGCACCCAAGCCTGAACCAAAACAAGAGACCACGGACCATGTTCAGAAGGCCAACGTGGATGATTTGGCTGATAGACTTAGCAAACTCAGTATCGATGTTGCTAGATTGATGGAAAAACCCAAGTATGGCCAATATAATACTGGACGGTGCTTCATGTGCCTCTCTGAAGGCCACGGTTTCAAAGGTTGCCCCAAGACCAAAGCATTTGTAGTGGCCGGCATAATCAGATATGACGCCTCCAACAGATTAGTTATGTCTGACAGAAGCCCACTTCCTCGCTCAACGGATGGAAGTCCATTAGTGCATTTAATCTGCAAAAGAGCTAATATGCATAGTGCAGCCACTCTGGAGTGGATGCGCGATTACAAGCTTGCCAATAGAGAATTTGCTACCCTTGGTGAAGGGGAATTTGAAGTCTACCCAGCATACGCATGCCCAGTGGAGCATGGTGACAGTGATAAGCCCAAAGCATCCAAGTCCAAGCCATACAATCAGCCACCTTCGCCAATGAGGCATACCATGCCACCAGAGGAGGTGAATACTGCACCAGCCCCCAATCAGGCTTATGTCGAGATACCCCTGCCACCCAGGATTCTGAAATGGCCACTGACACCACAGGAAGATGAGCCAATGACAGACAGAGAGTTCACCCCTAGAGAAAAAGGGAAACAAAGAGCTGCTCCCTCCACATCCCATCCCCCTGCACCACATAGCATGCCTAAGTCCAATACCACATGCAATAAAGTCACCTTTGAGGGACCTAAGACACCAGATTCCCCAAAGACCCCAGCGTATAAGCAGAGGGCCCCACCAGCCTACAAGTTCACCTCTGAATTACAGGAGAGGCTGAACTCTGAGGAAGTTTTTGAGAAATTATTGTCTCAAGAAATTTCCCTGCCATTAGGATTAATCTTAGGATCGTCTTTCGAGCTTAATAAGCGTCTCCAAATGGCCACGAAAGTTCAAAGGATTCCAATCACCAAGAAAGCAGAGACAGCCGCTCTGGACCTTGAGCCATCGAAGCCCTTGCCAGTCAAGGAAGAAGAGCTGTACTTCAGACCCATCTTTGACATGTCAAGTCTTGAGTCTGAATACTCAAATGACAGCGACAGCAGAGAGTCCGTTAATACAGATGATCAGGCAGAAGATTTCTACTGCCAACTGCTGGAAGCAGAGCACCTGTGAGAATGCAGCCTCACCAGCCACGAGATTTATTCTTTGGCCAAGCGGCCTTCATATCTAGCTATGGTGATGGCCAAGATTCAGGGCCACATTTTTAACCAACCCTGCACCATGTTGATAGATACAAGAAGTGAACTCAATATCATGACTAGTGAGCAAGCCTATGCACTTCAGCTGCCCGTTGATCCAATGGGAGCGATGTGGTCCCTTAGAGGTGTCTCAGGACACCAGGTTGCACTAGAGGGGCTCTGTAGGAACATGCCCGTAACTCTAGGTGGCATAGAAGTGCCCCACAATTTCTTTATATCTGTCAGGGGACGACTCCCGGGTCCCCATGACCCTCCCCTATGGTCCACAGCCTCTGGTCTGGCCAGCCCTATCCAGGGCACAATCCTACTGTGGGTAAGAAGATGAATAGATAAAGGCAAGTAAGATACAACTTGCCTACTGTGGGTAAGAAGATGAGAAGGAAGCTAACTTCTCATCTTCCCACAGTGGCCACCATATCAGGAAAACTTCCGGGGATACCTGGAAGTCACATGAAGGAGTAGGAACCGGGCCCGGAGCATGCGGCGCGCAGAGCATGCATGCATGCAGGAAGCGCAGCGGGTGGACGCGGGTCCGGACGCGGGTCCGGGTCCGGGCTAGTCAGGGTGTGTGCCCTGACAATATCTAAGGAAGGCCTAAATGGCAAAGATATGATCCTAGGCCAACCATGGCTGTATGGACATAGCTCATGAATAGAATACATGCCAGATGTCAGAATGACAATACAGATTTGGATGGAGGGAGATCACAACAGCAGGACCTCCGTACAGATCAAACTACCAATTATGAATGCACAGAGAAATGTTTTTCCAATTTCTGCACACCATCGGGCAGAAGTCACTCCCATCACTCTGGACATTAATACAGTCAAGCCTGGAATTGTTACGGGTGAGAAAGTTCCTTAGTCATATTACCACAGCGCTCATGGCACCAGAGCCAGAGTTCAAAAAGCTAAGGCCTGATGGTGTAAGCGGGCTAGGGATCTAACCCACTAGGAAAACAGGAAAGGATGGGGACTGGATAGGTATCCAACAGGTCAGGGAAAAGGTGGGGAAAGGGAAATATGGTCCGGTGTGTTACGGTGCATGGTGTACTCTAATCAATCTCTTACCCCACCTCTCTGGGTGACACTAAGGCAAGGACTAATCTAGAGGCTTCTTGGTCGTCTTCTCTGTCGTACTACTCCCTACTAGCTTGGGAGGGGCAAACTCGGTGGTTTCTAATCCAAGGGG